TCTTCAAAATTCTTGGGGGTTTCCAACCTGGATATTAATAAGCTTTTCCTATAAAGGGATCCCTGTGTGATCACTGTGTACAAACATTCCTTATGTATAACCCACTGTCCTGGTTTTCCAGGTCCGAGAATGAGCCAGAGAGAAACACAGGAGTTGAAGAAGCTGTTTTCTGTTATAACAAGGTGATTACCCATTTCTTTTCCTTCATTCCTAGTCCCTTTCTCACATGTTCTATGCATTCCCCAGAGATTCAGTACAGCATGGCCTTCTCACAGGGAGGGGGAGCCCTAGCAACAGGTATGTGAGTGAAGGTCTTGGGAAGTGCTAAAAAGTGTGTTGTGAGGTGAAGGATATGGGCAATGTGAAGGGGGTAGGAGGTTTCACCCACAGGACTGCAGACCTCCTTTTCCTGTATGGTCCTTGTTAGAGCTTTGTACTTTGTGTCCCTTACAGCCCCCTGGGCCAACATCAGGATAGAGACAACTTGCAGCAACTGTTACGTCCAGACAACCTCTGTAAGATGTTTAATGAGGTCAGTCATCTGCTATCTCTGGCACTCTTGGAAGATGTTGCAAGTATTCAGACACCTTTGGATTCCACAGGTTATGTGAGAAAATCATCACCTTCCAAATTCCCTGCTCTCTCCTCAGTCCCAGGAGGGGAACTATTGCCAGCCTCTCTGTTGAAGCTTTCTCCACCTTCCTCATTCTCTCTTCCCCCTAACAAGGTCATGCCCTCAGCTGACCTTCTCTCACCTTCCCCGTTGAGTGACTCTCTGCCACCAGAGCCTCTTCCTGCCTTGGACTCCAAGGCCACAGAAGACCCTTTACCACCCCCATCACTTTCCCTCCCCCCTCCCCCACCACATCCCACTCAGGAAACAGACACTCTTCTACCACAAGATGCCACTCTGCCTGTGGTGAGCAATCCTGCTGGCTTGTCCACTTCTGTTCCAGTGGGAGGCATGGACCATTCCAGCACAGAGCCCCCTGCCAAGAATATGCTGTCTTCCAATTTGGCACAAGATGGTGTAAAACAGCAATTTCTTGCCCTCCGTTCTGAGAACTTATCTGGGGGAGACACTGTAGCCTACTGTGTGGAGACTCATAATATCTGGTTTCTGCCCCCTGCTGTCCTGACATGCCTGGAGAGACAAATCAAAAAGAGGGGTGATGTCTTCAAGTGGAAAGAAAAGGAAAAGAAAGCAGAATTTCCAAAACAACATCAGCCAAATTACCAAGGATTTTCTTCAGAGAAAAGGTCAGAGTCAGCTGCTGATCAGCAGGACTCGGCCATCTCTCTTCTTTCATGGAACGAAAAAGGCAAATCAGAGGAACCACAGGTGGATCACCAGTCCCCTTATCCTAAGAGCTTTGAGGACCATTTACAGAAAAACTACACCCAGCTTTTCTATGGTGTCCCATCTCTACACCCCAAGTCCCTGAGCCCTAGTGTACCAGCTTCAGGTGATTATTCCTCAGCCTTTGTCTGCTTCAATACAGCATCCAATGACTCCACAGCCCACAAATCCCCAGTCCTTCTCTATACCCCACATGTGTTCCTGCCTGCGAGCCAACCTCAACCCTTGCCCAAGACCTCTTCCCAACCTCAGCCCCAATATCTCACTCCTGAACATGCCCAGACCCAGCTTCAGCCTCAATCCCCACTCCCAATTCTGTCACCTCCTGAAAACCAGTTTAGGATCTGTGGAGTGCGTGATCTTGGACACAAGAACGAGGCACTATCTCTGGTGCCATCTGAAATTCATGACCTAGAATACAATGTGACACAAAAATCACAGGAAAGTCTGTGGGGTTTACCCTCTGTGGTCCACAAATCCCAGGAGGACTTTTGTCCTCCAGCTCCCAACATTGTGTTGGTTAACCCATCCTCCAAAGCTCATGTTGCAATCTCCATCCTTCCTGGAAATTATCCCCTCTCAGATGATCTTCAGAAGAAACTAGACCACCACCTTCGAAAGAGGCGTATCCAACACTTGTGGGGCCTGCCCCGCAGAGTCTATGCATCCCTGTCACTGATGCGTCCTCTGGAAAAAATTCCTGAGACCTCTGAGTCAAAGAGCAGTCATGGGCTCTCAAGAAAGTCTTTGGATAAGAGTCAGAGCACCAAAGATATAAATAAGGGGGGCTCAAGCCAACCCAGAAACCTCCATGAACTGAGCTCAGGAATGCTTCCTCTAAAGATGGGAGTGAGGAAGGCACAGAGAGATGGTACCAAGATTGAGCAAAATCGTCATGTGCTGAGTGACCGAGATAATGTTCTGGGGTCTTCCTCAAGGAAGGACCTAGAACGTCACTTGCAGAGTCCATCAGGTGGAACTCCAAGTACCTCAATGGTGAATTCACTACAGAAACAACTTGAAAATGCCTTGAACTCCCACCTGAGCAAGAAGTTTCAGGAAATCAGTGAGGGTCAGATTCCTCGCACTGTGCATAGATCATGGCATTCTATCAAGTTGGCATTGCCTGTAACTGAGAAATCCACCAGACAAACGAGTCACAAACCTTTAGCACCAACCAGGACGGACAGCTCTGTCAATACTACCCAGGCTATTTCCTTCCTCGATGCTGGCAAGAAGAGGATGATGGAAGACCACATTACACTGTTTCATAAGAGGTTTATATATGGCCTTCCCAACAGCGTTCAGGAATCCCTAGAGATCTTTAATGAAAAAGATTCATATCACTCCTTTTCTCACTCCAAGTTTCCTTTTTCTGCCACCCGTATTTCTGGGGTGGATTCTAAACAGAGCATGTCCAAGACCCATGGAGGAAGATCTAATGCTTTTCATGGAGACAAAGAGAAAACAAAAAATGCAATTCAAAGTCTAGATCGTCCTCTCCTTGCCACCTCAATCGTGGTCAAGAAAGAACAGGCGATCCTGACACAAACAGTCTTTGAGATCAAGCATGAGCATGTAGAGGACCTTCGCAGAATAAAGGATGGCAAACCATCTGTTCTGCCCCAGACACAGAGCATCATAGGCAAAGCTTATCAGAAACCACCTGTAGCAGCCAATAAATGCAGCCCAAAGATGCTCATGAGGCAAGCTGGGGTTGGACCTCAGGAAACAGGACCTAAGAGACTGAGTTCCAGCTACAGTGTAGCACGGCCTCAGGGCAATAGGATGCCCTGGGGAAGTTCTTCCATGTCCAAGATATCTGAGAAATCCAGGGAGACATTGAAGGCACAGGAGCTCTATGCTTGTCAGTCACAACCTCCCAGTGTCTTGACAACCAGAAAGCCAGAAAGCTCCCCAGTGTCAGATGTCTATACTCCTGAAAATTCCCCCAAACTACCAGTTGTTAGAGACCCTGGATTGTCACACCTTAACAATCCATTGCTTGGTGAGTTAAGGGCTAAAATGAAGAAGGGGGAACCTAGCCAGAAGCAAGGCCATAGCAATGGCATACCCCTTGTTTCAAATAGCTTGACTTCCAAGACCTTCCTTAAACATGACCAGGGTGCTGCCTGCAAGAACATGGCAGTTTACCAGGTCCTTCATGTCCACCTGGACAACACACATACTAGCATGGAGCATAGGCAGGGGCCCTGGGTCCCTAAGCTTGACTTCCACAAAGACCAAGATAAGAACTGGCCAGCAACTGCTAAGACAATGACCCCTCCAGGACCCAAAATACGCGAGCTTGGTGGAGGGGATGCAGGGTTGGGCACATGCCAACCCAGAAGGAGGAGCCACCACCCTCAAGACAGTACATTAGAGCAGACACTTGGGAGCAAGTCCTGCTCAGCTCAGTCACTGAAGGGACCAGCTCCTCCCGAAAGCCTCAGAAACCAGATGAAGTACTTTTTTTTAATGGCTTTATCCTAATATAAAAGGCAAAAGGCAAGAAGGTTCCCTGGAAAAGGGCAGCTCCCATCATCACCTGTGCAGGGCAGAGGCCTAGTCCAAAGAAGAGCTGCCTTTATTGGGAATACTGACAACCCCAGAATCATGAGAGACAGTGAAAATGTCCTGGAGGAGAAACATGGGCACCAGCATTGAGTCAATGTCACTGGCCCCCAAGAGCCACATTTGTCCCCCAAGAAGTCTGGGAAAACTCAGCCCAAGGCAGGACTTCAGGTCCAGGCTGAGTCTGTCCAGGTGCATCATTTCAATTACAAGGCTCCTTGTTCTAAAGTAACAAGGGTCAAGTCCTGTAGCCAAGAATCAGGCCTTGCTGGCCAGAGCTGTCTTAAAAGGAATAAACAGATTAGAGACTTGAACAGAGAATCCCCAAACACTGAGGCATTTAGGGATCAAAAGCAATTCCCACGCATGCCCCACAGGGATCCCAAGTCTCATCCAAGTCTCATCTGTGGGTATCAAGTGGGTCAGGTGCCTGTGCCTGCCCGTGCACCTTCTGAAGTCACTGTGTTGGGAGATCTTTCGCTACTATTTAAAGAGAAAATTCTTATCCAACGTTTTCACAGAGGAAAATTTCCTTCCTCCTAATGATTATTCCTGATGGAGATTCCTGATTGTTCCTAATAAATTTTCTTACAAGAGTTGTGTGTTTTCTGTGTACTGTGTTAGGTGCATGGGTTTTAGTAACCTATCCGTTGTGCTTTGGGAAGAGAAAAGTTAAGCTCTTATTTTTTGCCTTCATTGGCTTCTGTAAGGTGACAAGTTCCCCAGAGCTGCTGTTGAAGAAGAGCTAAGACCTGTTCTTGAATCCCCTTCCTCGTGAAATTGGAGGAGGTGGCTGTTTCCAACCTCTTAGTTTAGC